TATTATCCTGTACTTCAAATAATTTTCTCAGTCAATAATGGCCTTATCATCCTTGAATAGTAATAGTAAATAGAATTGTCATCATGGAGTTACATAGTGGATAGGATGTCATTGGTGCTGAAATGCTATTAAATTATTTTCAATTTTATATAGGAAACAGTATGATAATGACAAAAAATATACTAACATTATATGAAAAAAATAAAGAGTAAAACTCAATAGAAAATATTGAGGAAATCATACAGGATTGGTAGAATATGTAGCCAGAAAAGTTTTTTTTTCTTTTTCCCATGCTCTTATATAAATTATAGAGCAGGAATGGTAGAACAGGTCACATTAGAAAACCAGAAAGCAGATGAAAGAGAACAAGAGAAAAAAAAATTGAAACAGAATACTTTTAAGAATAAAAATGAAGATTTTTTTTTGAGTTCTGAAACTCTGAAAATAGAGCAGAGTGCAATTAAAGCATCATATTTGATACAATGGAGTAAGGCACTTTGCACACATATTAATTCAAGCGGAAGCCCACATGTAAGTTAAAGGAATTTCTTCTAAAATATGCTCTGCAGTTAGTACATTGACAAAAGACTCAGCTGGGATGTGTTTGGAAAGCCTATAAAGTATTTCAAGTATTTTCATTTTCATTTAATTTGAAGTAACCATGGTATTCCTAATGTTATTACTTGGAGTAAATTTCAAGTTTACACATATGGCTAATATTTTGAATAGAGGATTGTACATAAGACAGATTACATTTTCACATTGAGAAATACCATTATATATATAATATCCAAAAATGAATGTTGTAAAGAAGGTACGAGTGAAATTACAGGAAATTTTGAGTTCTGTAAGTGCTCGTGCACACACACACACACACACACACACACACACACACAGGTCCAGCACATATCTTGTAGTTTGTTCTATTCCTCCATATAGTTAAGCAACATTGTTCTCAAAAAAGGAGCACCCTGGCCAAACACAGACAATACAAAATACACTCACTGAACAATGCCATCTTAAACACCTTTGACTTGTTAACACCAGTACCATTTATAATTAACAGGGATTATAGCAGGGTTTATAACCCCTGGAAATAAAAGTCCTGTCATGAAAAAGAGTGACAGTTTTAGAAATGGTGAGATAATATAAATGAGAGGATGTTTGAAATAAAAATAGGATCATTGTGGAGAAAAATATTAAAAAATGCAAAAGTACTATTTTCTGTAATTTTTCTTTGCTTTTTATTTTGAAGAAATTATTTCTAGAAAAGATTTGATGAATTTCCTAGAAATGGCCAAATATTTAAAATTCTTTTTGGTAGCAATGAATTTTAGTTTCTTTCTGTTCATTTAGGGGAAAAATTCAACGTATCAATAGAAAATATGGATGTAATGTTTTCTTTTTTTTGTTGTTTTTACACAATGGAACTGGCAGTTTCCAGTTCTTAGTGATCATGAAGTTTTAAATAAGAAGTATTATCATATAATCAAAGAATCATGAGAAACTAGAAAATGAGAGTTTCATGGGACCTCAGAGGCTATTTATGTTAGCTCTTACCTGATGAGAATACACCCCCTACAAAGGTATTTTCTGTACAATATACCCAAGAGGTTATCTAACCTTTGCTTTAATACCTTTGAAGAGGGGAATCTACTATTTGCCAAAGCATACCTTTCCACTTTTACTTCACTCATTCGTAAAGGAATTCTCTCATCCATCAAATACAATTTGTCTTTTTATATTTTCTACCCATTCTACTCCTAGGATGAGGCATGATTAGCCTATGACAGCTCTTCCACTAATTATTTGAAGACAGCTATTGGTATTCCATACATGCACCCTCACCCCCAGTTAAGACTTCACTTTTTTAGTTTCAATATACTCAGTCCATCAACTGGTTCTCAGATATTTTAATGTATTGGATTTTCACAATCCCAGTTTTTCTCCTCTAGATATTTTCCAGTTTGACAATATCCTTACTAAAATGTGGTTCCCAGAAGAGAACACAGTAGTCTAGATATAGTCAGGTCTGGGAAGACCTTATAGTCCCTTATGTAATTTCTCTCTTAATACACTCCTGAGCTCATGTTCATTTTTAATGCAACATCATGGTATTAATTGATATCAAGACTGCAGTAGGAAGTTACGCGCGCGCTTACACACACACACAAGTACTTTCTTTTTTTTCCCAAGACAAATTGCTGTCTAGCTCTAGCTTATCCATCTTGTATATTTGACACTGATTTTTATAAATAGAAGCTTTGCATTTATCCATATTGGATTTTACGTAAGTTACTAAATTAGGCCAAATGTTCCTGTTCCCCTCCCCCCTTTTAAAAAAAATTTCTGATAGTGCCATTTATTGTAGTGTAATGAATAAAACCCCAAAAGACAAGGTTGCCAGGCATTGTTAATCAATTTACTTAATTGGCTAGCCATAATAAAGAGATAGTCAGTGGTTTCTTTCAGTAACCAAAGAAACCCAGGAAGACTCTGAAACACCTTAAATAAGGTGTGTAGCTTCTGACAGGGAACTCCCCTGACAAGTGAAATTCCATCCTGATTGGTGGACATTTAATGAGGAGGTGAGCTAAAAGTCTTCAGCTGCTCCTGCTGAGACTCAGTAGCCTCAAGGCATTTGGACAGGGAAAATCATTTTCATCCAGCCATCTCTGGGTAGTTTTCTCCTTTATGAGATTAAGGTTAGTCTAAACTCTAAAGAATGGGATGGAGGACAGTAGTTCCTTCACCCAGGCAAAGGACTCACCCAGACTGGATTCTGTTTGTACTTTAAATGGAAATCAGGTTTCCCAATTGGGTGGGGTCCCATCCAACCTAGTTAAGAACCACTTGCCTTGGGGGCTAGGAGTAATCATATCACTCATTCATGAGCCTCAGAGACTGCCTGACATTTCTAGGAGTGGGGTCTTAACAAAAATAGGAGGAAAAGGATGTCTTACAAATTAATTTAATTAATTAAGTTACTAATATAATAGTATAATATCAATTTCTTTCATTGGGGTACATAGGTACCACTCTGGATAGAGAACCAGGCCTGGAGTCAAGAAGACTTACCTTCATGAGCTCAAATCTAGCCTCAGACATTTACTAGTTATGTGACCCTGGGCAAGTGAGTTATCTCTGTTTGTCTCAGTTTCCTCACCTGTAAAATATGCTGAAAAAGGAAATATATCTTTACTAAGAAAACCCTAAATTGTGTCACAGAGCTGGACGCAAGTAAAAATGACTGAGCAGCTGAGTGCCATTCAATGTGTCAGTTATTTTCTAAGTTTCATCTTCTGCAGAATTGTTAAGGAGCTGTTTATGCATTTGTCCATGTCATTCATTACAATGTTAGACAATAGGTCGGCAAACACATATACCTAGGGCACTGCAGTGGAGACCTTTAGACAGCTTGACACTGGAACATCAGTGATTGTTTTGTTTTTTCACTTCCATAAGGTTTTATTTTTAGTTTTCAACATTCATTTCCACAAGATTTTGAGTTCAAAATTTTCTCCACATCTCACCCCTCCCCCCACCTCAAGATGGTGTGCATTCTGAATACCTCTTCCCATAATCTGCCCTCCCTTCTATCACAGTTCCCTCCCTTCTCTTATCCCTTTCCCCTTCTATTTTCCTGTAGGGTAGAAAAGATTTCTATACCCCATTGCCTGCATATCTTATTTCCTAGTTGTATGTAAAAATAATTTTTAACATTTGTTTTTAAAGCTTTGGGTTCTAAATTCTCTCCCTTCCTCCCTCCCCACCCAATTTCATTGAGATGGCAAACAACTTAATATAGGTTATACATGTATAGTAATGCAAAACACTTCCACAGTAGTCATGTTGTGAAAAACTAAGTATATTTCCCTTCATCCTATCCCACCTCACTGTCATGTATTCTCTTCTCTCTTTTCACCCTGTCCCTCCTCAGAAGTGTTTGCTTCTGATCACCCCCTCCCCAATCTACCCTCCCTTTTATATTCCCCCTCTCTTATCTCCATAACCCCAATTTTCCTATAGTGTGTGATAGATTTCCATTCCTAATTGAGTATATCTGTTATTCTCTCTGTAAGCCAAATCCAACGAGAATAAGATTCACTCATTTCCTCTTACCTTCCCCCTCTTCCTCTCCATTGTAAAAGCTTTTTCTTGTCTGATTTATTTTACCCCATTCTGCCTCTCCCTTTTTCCTTCTCCCAGTACAATCCTTGCTCACCCTTTAATTTTATTCTCCGATATCACCCCTTAATCTTCTACTCACCCTGTGCCTTCTATCTGTCTATTATCTATCTATCTATCTATCTATCTATCTATCTATCTATCTATCTATCTATCTATCTAACTATCCATATATATTTTTTTCCTCCAACTATCCTAAAACTGACAAAGGTCTCATGAGTTACAAATATCATCTTTCCATGCAGGAATGTAAACAGTTCAATGGTAATAAGTCCTTCACGATTTCTCTTTCATTTTTCTTTACATGCTTCTCTTGAGTCTTGTATTTGAAAGTCAAATTTTCTATTCAGCTCTGGTCTTTTCATCAAGAATGCTTGAAAATCCTCTATTTCACTAAATATCCATTTTCCCCCTAGATTGCACTCGGTTTTGCTCAGTAGATGATTCTTGGTTGTAATCCTATCTCCTTTGCCTGCCAGAATATTATACTCCCAGGCCTCTGGTCCCTTAATGTAGAATCTGCTAAATCTTGTATTATCCAGATTGTGTTTCCACAATACTTGAATTGTTTCTTTCAGGTGGATTGCACTATTTTCTCCTTGACCTGGGAACTTTGCAATTTGGCCACAATATTCTTAGGAGCTTTCCTTTTGGGATCTCATTCAGGAGGTGATCAGTGGATTCTTTCAATTTCTATTTTGCCCCCTGGTTTTAGAATATCGGGCAATTTTCCCTGATAATTTTTTTTTTAGCAATATCTAGTTTCTTTTATGCCTGCAAAAGGTAGATGTGCCCAGAAAGGCATGCACCCCTCATGAGTGGAGTGCCCACCACTTGTCCAATGACCCTCTGCTGGGGATGTACTTAACCCCACAGTCATCAGGAATGAGATGCTTCTCAGCTATCATATCCTCAAACTCATGAGCATTGAACTTGGTAAAACCCCATTTCTTGGAGATGTGGATCTTCTGGCGGCCAGGGAACTTGAACTTGGCCCTACACAAAGCTTCAATCACATGTTTTTTATTCTGGACCTTGGTTCGAATTAACATGATAACTTGGCCAATGTGTACACAGGCTACAGTGCCCTGGGGCTTCCCAAAGGCTCCCCACATGCCAGTCTGGAGCCTATCAGCCCCAGCACATGACAACATCTTATTGATGTGGATGACATGAAAAGGATGTAGCCGCACATGAATATGAAAGCCATCCTTGCCACAACTCTTCACCATGTACTTGTTGGCACATATACGAGCTGCTTCCAAGGCTTCTGATGACAGCTGTTCATATTCATCTGACACCATATGGCCACACAATGGAAATTCATCCACTTTCACTTTCTTTCTACCAAGATCAAAGATTCTTATCTTGGCATCAGGACTCCCCTGCAGAAATGGGACTTTGGGTGTGGCTTATTTTTACGGTACCTATAACAGCGGGCAAGACGACGGCCCACGGTGCCAGCACCAGCAGGGACTGTGTCTCGCTGCAGGAAAGGGGATAATTTCTTGAAAGATGATGTGTAGGCTCTTTTTTTTGATCATGGCTTTCAGATAGTCCAATAATTTTAAAATTCTCTCTCCTGGATCTATTTTCCAGGTCAGCTGTTTTTCCAATGAGATATTTCACATTGTCTTCTTTTTTTTTTCTTTTGGTTTTGTTTTACAGTGTCTTGATTTCTCATAAAGTCACTAGCTTCCAATTGCTCTATCCTAATTTTTAAGGAAGTATTTTCTTCAGTAAGATTTTGGACTTCCTTTACCATTTGGCCAATTTTGTTTTTTAAGGCATTCTCCTTATTGGTTTTTTGGAACTCTTTTGTCATTTGGGTTAGGCCATTTTTTCAGGTGTTTTTCCTTCACTTTTTTTTGGGGGGGAGTCTCCTTTAGCAAGCTGTTGACTTGTTTTTCATGGTTTCCTTGCATCACTCTCATTTCTCTTCCCAGTTTTTACTCTACTTCTCTTATTGCTTCTCAAAATCCTTTTTGAGCTCTTCCATGGCCTGGGACCAAATCATATTTTTCTTGGAGGCTTTGCATGTAGGAGCTTTGACTTTGTTTTCTTCTTCTTGTTGTATGTTTTGATCTTCTTTGTCACCAAAGAAAGATTCTGTGGTCTGACTTCTTTTGTGCTGTTAGCTCATTATCCCAGCAAATTATTTGACTTTTAAATACTTTGTTAAAGTTAGGGTCTACTTCCAGTGTGAGGAATGTACTGTCCCAGGATTCAGGGGTTTTGTGTAGCCATTTTCAGAGTTACTTCTAGGGAACTGTAAATTTTCAGTTCTTCTAAGGTGGTATCATCAAAAGAAAGGTGTTTACTCCTTTCCTGGCCTGTCCACTGGTCTATGAGCACAAGCACTCTTTTCTGTCCTGGAACTGTGAGGAGGATTTTCTCTCCACCACCACAAGCTCCACCATGCCAGCCCTCCTCCTTGTCACGGGACTGCTACCCAGGACTGCGACTCAGATCCAAGCACAAACAGAGCAAGAGAATGTTAACTCTGAGCCAGGAAAGAGATTGCTGCAATCCCCCTCTGATCAACCACTCAATTCCCACTCTATCTGTGGTCTGAGAGCTCTGGAAGCAGCCACCACACAGAACTGCTCTCTCACTGAGGTCACAGACCTTTCCTACTGATTTTCTAAGTTGTCTTTCATATTTGTGGGTTGATAAGTCTGTAAACTCCCACAGTTCCCCTTGATTCAGTCCCCTGAAGCCTACTCCAGGTTTGCTGATGCCTGGGTGCACAGCCCACACTGAACTGTGCTCCTTTCTCAGCTCGGGGCAACAGAACTTTCCGAACAAACATCCAGTTTGTCTTGGGCTGGAAATTTGTTTCACTTCATCTTTTTGTGGGTTCTGTTGCTCTAGAATTAGTTTAGAGACATTTTTTGCAGGTATTTGGAGGAGTTTGGGGAGAACTCAACCAAGTCACCGCTTTTATTGTGCCATCTTGGCTCCATCCCTCCAGTGCCTATTTTTTAAGTCCATTTTTTCAATCGGTTCTGAGTCATGTAACTATACTTTCTACCTCACCTTCTTATATATAAGCACTTTGCTAAAATATTTCTATAATATTACTCTAATATTCCTAAAAAATTTGTCAAGAGAAAAAAAATATGTTCTCACATGACCTGTTCTTTTTGAAGCTTTGATAGAGTTTTGAAAATAGAATTTTCTTTTCTATATGCTCACAAGGAAATACACCATCATCCTTTTAATAATGTTCTACAATTTTTCCAGGAATTAAAGTTAAGATCCCTGTTCGTTGGTTTGTAGATTCTGTTTCACTTTAAAAATATGGATAAATATTTTCTATTTTCCATTCCTATTGTACCTTTTCAATTCTCCATGTTCTTCTAAAGATCATCAACAATGATTCAAATGAATTCATAATGTCAAGAATATCAAACCATGCACGAACTTAAATGAGATATGATAATAGAAGGAATAGATTTGTCCATTTTCTAGATGATACGTTATGGCAAGTTATAAAAATCACTTAGTTATATTATAATGAAATGATGTGGTGGCTCGGGGAATTGATAATGATATTTGGCATTGTTTATCTCTAATTGATCAGTTAAAGTTAAGTCAAAGTTGTTAGCATTGTTTTAAATTATTCACATTTGTGGGAGTTCTGTGTGGTTTGAGTCAAGTAAGAGAAATAAGTGAAGTAAGACATATGTAAATATAATGTGTATGTGCATGTGAGTGTATGCATACAATATATGCATATGCACATACACATGTGTGTATGTGTACATATGTGTATATGTGTGTATATGAAATTTCTGAGTTTCTAAATATTTTTGTGTCATCTGCCGCCCTTTGTATGTCATCTGGGGCTTCTGCTACCCCCCCCCCAATTTTCCATGTAATTTCTTATGCCAGTCTGCAATATATTGAAGCAACAATGTGGAAAGTTATGATGTGGAAGGGATAACTAATTGCCAAATACGATTGCTTTTCCTCCATTCTCATCCTGCTCCACCTCTATGTAGCCTCTTTTCCTGTTGATCACACATTTCTTCTTACTTTCTTGTTGCTAGGTTTTCTTGAAAGTACTTTGTCTTATTTCTCCTCCTACCTTTCTGTGTGCTTTTTCTCAGGATAATCAAATAGGTCAGGATTTGGCAAATTATGCTCAGTGGGGCCCACAGCCTGTATGTATGACCCTCAAACTTTGTAGTTTTAACATTTTTTAAATGTAAAAATAACATCCTTAGCTCACAGGATGAAAAACATTCTGAGCTCACATATCAAATAAAAACAGGAAGCTGGATAAATTTGTTCTTTAGGCCATGGTTTGCTAACACCCCACCTAGGTCATGCCTGTGAAACTGAGGTGCCCCTTTCTCTGCACCCCCCCCAAGTGTTTAGTCCTGAGCTCTTCTGTCCTGTATGATCACATTGGGTAATTTCATCTACTCCCATAGACTCAAGTATTATTTCTCTCCTGAATCTCAGATCTTCTTATGCAGCTCTAACTTCTTTGCTGTCTGGTAGTTTTATATTTCCATCTGGCTGTGGAACACCTTGAGGCAGCTAAGTTGCTCAGTGGTTAGAGTTCTGGGCCTAGAGTAAGGAAAACTTGAGTTCAGATCTGCCCTTAGACACTTACTAGCTGTAGGCAAGTCATTTAACCTCTTTTTTGCTTTAATCTACTAAAGAAGAAAATGGCAAACCACTCCAGAATCTTTGCCAAGAAAATCCCATGGATCTGGAGTCTTGAAGAGACAGATATGGCTGAACAACTGAATGACAGCAAATAGGACACCTTGAACTAGAGGTTCATAAATATCTTAAATTCAACAAGTTCAAAATGGAACTCATTATCTTTCTCCCCAAACCCTTCCCTCCTCTAAATTTCCCTATTGCTATCAAAGGCACTGACATCCTTCAAGTCACTCAGGCTAGGTATCATTTTCAACTCTTTCTCACTGCCTCCTCCCTTCCCTACTATATCTAATATATTTCACATACTGTAAATTTTACCTTTGTAACATCTCTAATATATGCCCCCTTTTCTTGTTTGACAGTAACAAAACACCAATGTAGACTTTTATCACCTCCTAACTGGAGTATCGCAATAGACTGCTAATTGTATTCCATGCTTTAATTATCTTTCAACTTGAGTCCATTTTTCGCTCATCTGTCAAAATTGTCTTTATGTATTACATATCTGATCATGGCACCCCTGCCTTCTCTTCAGCAAACTCTGGTGGCTTCTTAGCACCTAGCTCCAGGTTCAAATATAAAATCTTATGTTTGGAATATAAAGCTCTTTAAAACCTGCACCACTCCCTCCACCTTTCCAATATCAGTATACCTTATACCATTGCAAGTACACTATAATCCCGTGACACTAGCCTGCTTGCTATTCCTCACATAAGACATCTCATCCCCTGACTCTGGACTTTCTCACTGTCTGTGATTTGTGCCTGAATTTTTTCCCTCCTTGTCTTTGCCTACTGGCTTCCCTTGCTTCCCTTAAGTCCCAACTAAAAGAGCCTCTTCTAAAAGGAGCCTTTTCAAATCCCTCTTAGTTTTCTATAAAATATTCCATGGGCTGAAGACTGTCCCCCATGTATGTGACAATATTGTCATTGTTTGTCTCTAAGGACAATAAGGTTCCTTCTGTCCATGATAGAAGATTTCAGAAGCCACTTCAAAGAAATGCTGGCATCATCACTGAATCCAGCAGTCTTTATGCATCACCCATAGTGTTGGTGCCTAAGAAAAATTGAAATATATGCGTATATATTGATTACCAAACTTTGAACCAAAGGGCTAAAGTGGACCAGTAAGCTATGCCACATGTGCAAGATGATCTGGATTGACTTCTAAATAACCATTGGTTTTCAATCTTGGAATTCCATTATGTATACTATTAGATTCCTTTCTGAGGACAACAAATGGGGATGGGGGGAGAGACTGCCTTTATCAGTCCAGCTAGAATTTACCAATTTGAGCAAAAACCACAGGGAATCTCAGAGGTACTAATAACTTTAAAAAGGCCTATGAAGTAAGTGGTTGGAGACTTTGAAGATGTCAACACCTCATCAGGATTCTGGAAGAAAGGACTCTGGGAAAAAGACAGCATGAGAGGATATTGCAGCCTCCATTGTGTCCCTATTCCAACCTTGCCAAACTAGAGTTCCCTTTGGTTGAGATCTGGGATTATTTCTTGATGGAACTGAGTTACCTTATTCACATTTGTAGTTTCACTCTGTAGTATCTGGTGTCTATTCTTCTATGTATATTTTAAATGGTTTTATGCTAACCTAACATTTTCAAAGGGATTATTAATTTTTTGTCTTACATCAACTTCACTCAAACCACAAAAAATCCCCACAGATGTGAATACTTTAGAACAATGTTAACAACTTTGACTTAATTTTAACTGATCAATTAGAGATGAACAATTCTAAATATAATTATCAATTCCCTGAGCCATCACATCATTTCATTATAATATAA